GTTTTAACAAGACAACTTCCTACATGTACTTAGCTTTCCCATAATTTTTTGTCCACCCAAGGCCTTCTACTCTTGTTCTATAAGAAGAACACATCAGTGGCAGGTTGTATAGGAATTCTGCAGAGGTCCATGTGATTATCTTAGCTCCAATAGTAGCACTTGCTTTCCAAGTTTATATAAAAGAATATTTCTCTTCCTTTTGAAGTCCCCTTATACTGCTTAATTTTTAAATATTTTTAAAATTGATTTTTAGAGAGAGAAAGGGAGAGGGAAAGAGCAAACCATCAATCAGCTGCCTCTTGCATGTCCCCTATTGGGGATCAAGCCCATAATCCGGGAATGTGTCCTGACCAAGAATGGAACTGGCAACCTTTTGGTGCATGTTATGATGCCCAACGAACTGAGCCACACCAACCAGGTTCCCTTATGCTGTTTTCTAATCTCATTGCCTTCCCTTCCCTTTCATGGGGCAACATGATTGTAGGTTGTGTTTTTCAATCTTTGATTTTCTTTATAGTTTTATTACATTTTTTTGTTGCTAAACAATATACTTAATTTTACATACTTTAGAACTTTATATAAATAAATCATGTCATATATGTCCTTCTGTGACATGTTTTTTCTACTCAACATTATGTTCCTATATTTGTATGCTGCTCCTTGTAGCTGATATTTATTTACCTTCACTAATGTATAACATTCATTTATATGAATATACCATAATTTATTTATCATTCCTACTGTTTATGAGTTTCCCTGAGAAAGGGTACATGGGAGGTAAAAATTCTGACACTTTGCATGACTAAAAATGTATTTATCCTTATGTCTGATTGATATTTGACTGGGTATAGAATTTTAGGTTGGAAATAATTGTTTTCTCAGAATTTTGATGGCACTGCCATAATTGCTTCAATTTCTAGTGATGCTACAGATAATTCTGCTACCATGCAGTTTCTTCATCCTTTGTAGAAAACCTGCATTAACTGCTGAAAAGCTTTAAGATTCCCTTTGATCTCAGGGTTCACAATGGTGTTTTTGTGGGTTTATTTTCATCCATTGTGATGGGTACTTGTGCCGGGGTCCAACCCCAGCGGGTCCAGGGGTTCCCAAAAGCGTAGACGGAGTTGGCGAAGAAGGAATGACACAGAGACAGCGTTCAGTTGATCAGCAGCCTAGCCAGGATCTCTAGCCAGGATCTCCAGCCAAGTTCTGGTCTGGATCTCCAGCGAAGTTCTGCTCTGAATCTCCAGCCAGGTTCTGTGTCCATGTTCTCTTGCTAGGTTCTCCAGGTTCTCCAGCCAGGTTCTGTAGCCATGTTCCCTCGCTAGGTTCTCCAGCCAGGTTCTGTCCAGGTTCTCCAGCCAGGTTCAGTCACCAGGTTCTAGTCAGGTTCTCTTGCCAATTTCTGTAGTCAGGTTCAGTCCAGGATCTTTTGCCATGTTCTCTTGCTAGGTTCTGTCTCTAGGTTCTGAGGCCAGTTTCTGTCCAGGATCTTTTGCCATGTTCTCTCCAGCGAAGTTCTTCTGTCTCTAGAGAACGTTCTGTGTAGGTTCTGTGCCTAGGTTCTGTCTCTCTTGGTTCTGTGTTCTAAGTTCTGTGTCTTGCTGTCTTATTACATCTGTATTTATACCAGTTGATTCAATCCTATCAATCTCTATTACAAAGGTTAGGGCGTTTCTTATCTTCATTCCAGGGAGTAAAGATTATGTAGCATAAGCATGATTGTTCGTAAAGTGATTAATTACCCACCTGGCACTAGTTAAGAGGTTTTATTCCCTCCCTAACTTCAGGGGAAAATCCCTACCTGGGGAAACAACCTTTCTCAGAGACCTTGGTTAAAACACATAGTGCCAAGAAGGTGAGAAAACATATTAAGAACAGTATGCCATATATGCCAGGTCCCTTGAAACAGCAAGCATGGACCGGCTCCCGGCATACTTGGTGGGCTCTTGGAATTTGGAAACACAGCTTTCAGCTCTGGGAAACTCTGAACTGTTTGTTCACTGATTCCTTTACTTCTGTTTTCTCCTTCTGAAACCCTGTCATTTCGGTGCAGAATTTTCTAGGATAGTCTTCAGATTGTTTTCTTTCTTTTTTGCTATTTTTCACCTTTCAATATTTTATATATGTTTTGTGAAAATTTTCCTACAAGTCTTTTATTGAGGTTTGTCATTTATACTACTATGTTATTAAGTTCTAGGAGTTCTTTTCTTATTCTTTGAATGTTTCTTTTTAAATGTAGTGTCCTGTTCTTGTTTCAAAGCAGTGTTATCTTTTAATGATAATTATAATAGTACTAGGTGCAGGAATTTGTGCACCACTGGGGTCCCTTGGCCTGGACCCATTCTCTGACTTCTATTGAGGGGTCCCGAATTGCGAGAGGGCGCAGATCAGGCTGAGGGACCCCCTCCCCCCAGTGCACAATCAGGGCTGGGCAGGGACGCAGGGGGTTGGCCAGCCAGGGAGAGACCACAGGAGGGCTCCAGGGCATGTCCAGCCTGTCTGTCTCAGTCTGGATCAGTTGAACCCCAGCAGCAAGCTAACTTACCAGTTGGAGTGTCTGCCCCCTGGTGGTCAGTGCACGTCATAGCAAGCGGTTGAGTGGCCTTAGCATATCATTAGCATATTACGCTTTGATTGGTTGAACAGCCAACTGGTCAACCAGACACTGAGCATATTAGGCTTTTATTATGTAGGATTTTTCTTTCTTTTTTTGTTAATCCTCATGCTAGGATATTTTCTCCATTGATTTTTAGGGAGAGTGAAGGGAGGGAGGGGGAGAGAGAGAGAGAGAGAGAGAGAGAGAGAGAGAGAGAGAAAGAGAGAAACATTGATGTGAGAGAGACATTGATTGGGTGCCTCCTAAACATGCCCTGAGCAGGGCTAGGGATTGAACTTTCAACTCAGGTTTGTGCCCTTGACTGCGAATCGAACTGTGACCCTTTGGTGTGCAGGCCAATGCTCTAACCACTGGGAAACACCAAAATTCTCTAGGGCTATAATAGTATTTTTCTTCTCTCTCTCTAGTCTTTATTTCCTCCTAGTTGATTTTGTCCTGCTAATTTTAGGCTCTTACTTTAAAGTAAGTGGCCTTCCCCAGATGTTGGTTGATCTGTGTCTGCCTAGTCCAGGGGTGGGCAAACTTTTTGACTTGAGGGCCACAATGGGTTCTTAAAACTGGACTGGAGGGCCGGAACAAAAGCATGGATGGAGTGTTTGTGTGAACTAATATAAATTCAAAGTAAACATCATTACATAAAAGGGTATGGTCTTTTATTTTTTTAGTTTTATTCATTTCAAACAGGCCGGATCCGGCCCACGGGCCGTAGTTTGCCCATGGCTGGCTAGTCACATGTAAGAGTAGGGTCCTAAAAGGCCAATTGGAAACTTTGTGCTCATGAGTGGGTCTCATTGACAGACTTCATTTCAGGATGACTATTTGTGTTGTTTCCTTGGGGAGCCTGTTTTTTGTATCTTTAGGTCTTTTCTCTCAAGATGTTTAGATTCCCTACAGAAGAATATTTTAGTCTCTAGTCTAGAGCCTATATACCTGGTTCCCAGCATACTGGGAGGCAAGTAAATGAAGAGAGTAGGAAGTTTCAGCATTAAGTGTGTAAGATTTTGTTTAACCTTCCTGTTTTTATTCAGTATTATCTGCTCTTAATTGTGCCTAGTGTTTCTCAGTCAAGAATTTCTGTTTTACTTTCTCCATATAATAAAATTCTAGTCAACTGTTGACCTGAGAGTAGAGATGGGAACAAAGCACATTTTAAATGGACATTCAGCCAATCCTCCAGTTTTTGTCTCCCAACCCCCATGTCATTTTCCAGAAGTACCTGGTGTCTCCAATTATTGAGTCTTTTAGTTGTTCCAGTGTAAATTGGATTGAATTATATATTTCCCATCTGGCTTAGACCTTCCCAGGTCAATCACCTATCATGTCTCTGATTTCTAACTTACAGATTTTTGTTGATCTTACTTGTCATATTGCCTTTCCCCCTCTTTTTCCTCTACTTCCTCCTCCTCTCTCTCTCCTCCTTTTCTCCTCTTCCTCCTCCTTCTAGATTTAATGACAAATGAACCATTAAAAAGAAGGTTCCATAGAGGCGGGATGGGTACCTGTTTGTACCAGCCTTAAGAATATATCATCTCATACTGCTTTGGAGTTCTGGATTTAGAAGGTCAGATGGTAGTCAATATGGGTGATTTTGTTTCTTTAATTTTGATGATACTAATTAGAAAAAGAAAAAAGGAAGGGGAGGGGTAAATAAACCTATGGTTAACTTGAATCCTATAAATAAACAAAACTCAAATTTATTGTTGTGAGCAATATTTTTTAACATGAGCAGAAAAGAAAAATGAAACAAAGATTCTATCTTTGGCATTAGCATAAAGAATGGTATCCACTTTTTAGTTTTCAAATTAAAGAAGGAATTTTAAAGGAGGAAAGTGTCTCTAGAGTCAAAGGAACAGAACCTGCAGAATTTCAACGGAGGAGTGAGATGGGGTGGAAGGAGAGTAAACTCTATAGTTGAAAAGCAGTTCTGGATAAAAGAATAAGAAAATTCTCTAGGGATCAAATCAGCTCTGAGCCAAATTTTAATCTCTATTCTTTTCCAAGTTGAGAAGTTCCCTGTTGCACATGTGCCTTAGATGTTAGAATCAAAACCCTTTCTTTGCCTGCCAAATTGTTGCCTGCCTGATTTTAATGATCAAGCTCTAGAGAAGCTTCAGTTATGATGGTTTTAAAAGAAAAGATGGAAAACCAGTAAGGAGATTTGCTAAGCAATGAGTGAGTCAGGCAAGGAAAGTTATTTTAACCTAACAGTTGATAGAAAATAAACCGTACACCTATGTTTTTGGCTAGTTTACAGCTGGTGAAAGGGTCTGGAATATTGTTGAAACAATGGGAGGTGATGTGTTTGGAAGCCTATGAAGTGCATAAGGTACTCAAGGAACTTGGGGTATTTTTAATGAACATGATTTTCCCTGGTTTTTGCCAGGTGTGGAGATTTGGCCTTCACTTCCAGTTCATTCAGCGATCTGTGCCACCTTGGCAAACCAGGTAACAATACTATCTCTTGGATACTCCATGCTGTCTAGACACGATAAAAAAGGAAATACCCAGCAGTTCAGAATTTAGTACCTCAAATGGAAAATAGGGTTCAGAGAATCTTGAATTGGTGCCTTGTACTGTCACCTAACTCTGTAACTTTCTATGTGTTTTAGCCATGCTGCCCTATTGAGATTATCAGAAGCTTGAGGCACAAGTCATCCTTCATTCATGCGACTGTTGTTCATTGAGAAGCTATGACATTGTCATCACTTCGTTAGTATGGAAGAATTTGAAGATGACTAGTACAGTCAAGGAGCTTGGGCCATAATTTGTAGTGTTTTATCATTTATAAATAAACGTTCTTACCCATTAACTATTTGCTTGTTTAATCTTTAATAACAATCATGAAATACTATTGATCTTCATCATTTGTTGATTCCATATTTGCTAACTGCCTATTTGATAAATTATTTTTGGGCATCCCCCCCCCAAATCAACAATCTTGGTGCTTTCATAGACATGTTTGAGCTCAGAGCAGTACAAAATTTGAGTGTCCATCATGCTTATTTCCAGCTGAGGTCAAACAAGGCGACTTGGCCTCTCCTGCTGCCAGAGGGTCTGTTTCAAGGTCTAGTTAGTGCCATTCCGTTTGTATTTTTGTTGGTGGTTTTTATTTTTCAAATGACTCCCAAGTATAGTGCTGAAGTGCTGTCTAATGTTCCTAAATGCAAGAAGGCTGTGATATGTGATGCAACGTGCCTTATGAAGAAAACATAGATGTTAGATAAGATTTATTCAGGCATGAATTATAGCACTGTTGGCTATGAGTTCAATGTTCATGAATCAACATTATATATTAAATAAGGTATCTTTAAGCAGAAACACACATAAACCAAGGTATGTACTGATGGGTTGACAAAAATATTGTGACCAGAGATTTGCTGGAATCTAACTCTCTGCTTCCCTTAGGAACAGTAATTTAGTATTTGCTAATTCAGTGTTCATGGCGACTTTATGGAGCATAATTACCATAAATAACAAAAATTGACTGTGCATGTTACACTTATTCTCATTTTACAGATGGGGCAATGATTGAGTCTCAAACGAAGAAATAGCTTTTTAAAAAGTGTCATTTTTATAGTGGCATTGAGGCCCTAACCCTATCACTTGATCTAATGATCTAAATTTCCACCTAGCATGTGGCTAAATATCTTTGCATTCACCAAATGCATTGTCTACAGTAAACCTACAGATGCTGGTTAGATAAACCATGTGAAAACCTCTTGGGCTGGGAAAGGCCCAGCCTCAATTTCACATTTCTAAAGCTAAATATGAATATAAACCAGTTGAAACTAGACTCAGTTTCAATATTATTAAAAAGATTTAATATAATTAAATAGCATTTAAACTTTTATCATATATCATGTCATATTATCCTAACTTATTATATATATTATATATTAACTTATTATATAATCTGTACTATGTATAATATAGCTAAGTTGAAACATTATATATTATGGATTAGTTAAGTTTAAATATTATATATATTACATATCTATATATCTATACTATATCTAGCTAAGTTTCCATTTGAATCAATGAAAACCAAAAAAGGAAATAAATAGCCTCTGAAGATGTTTTTAATGAGACAGCTCTGCTTCTGAAAGTCACCATGTAGTTCTAATATGATATTTTACCTTCAAGCTTTGTATTCCTTTTGACACTTGACTAATTTCTTTAAGAACAAGCTGTACAAAGCCATAATATAATAAGGCCTGTGGTTTCCCAGGACACTAATGATTTCCAAAAGGCCAGATACTGTGATGTTTGCCATGTAGTTCAAAACAAAAGCATTGAGATCCTCAGCCTGGTGTCTGAAATGCTAAGGAACATAAGTTTATCTGGGCAGATGAAAGTAGATTCATGAGCTCCTATGAACTGTTTCCAGAATGCTTCCTTCTAAATGACTATGCACCAAAGTTGGTCAGTCTGATGCAAAATTCTCCTAGAAAAAAAGTTTGCTTGGTTTTCCTTATATACTGAGAGTGATCCAAGGGAATTTCTAGAATAAGAGACTTTTCCTTTAGAAACATGACTATCACTATTCACCCTTTCTCTATAATAGAAGTGTCAAGCAAATTCATGATTGACAATGACAGATCAAAACATACACGTGCAATTGGCGCCAGCGAGAGCTTTATATGGATCGCGCATATATGAGTCAACTTAACCTTTTATATGTATAGAACAAACTTGCTTAATTAGACCTGCTTTCTGATTTAGCTAAACTTTTCCCAGCACAGTGAAACACCCCAGCTTCTCTTTCAGAAAATTGTCAGCCACACAGCAGTAAATATCAACACGAAGCAGATTATTATTGTAGATCATACAGGGAGAACAGTGTTTGACTATATTCTGTGCAGTGGGAAAACCTGAAGTCATTTTCAAGGTCCACCATTTCTTACTTCTTTTTAGTTGGGTCAAGTTTCTAAGTTTTCTAAATCTCCATTTTCCAGGTAATGAAAAGAAAATTGGATTCCACTGAGTCTCCTATCTACCTACTTCAGGACTTCTGTGAGGATCAAATGAGATAAGGCATGGGAAAACGCTTCACAGACATCTGGTTAAAGTGTAAAATGTTTCCACCTGGCTATAAAGCAAGTCGTATTCCTGGGCTGAAGAAACAGCAAGTAGGCTAGTCACTAGTTGCTAGGGTAGAGGAAGCTAGGTATTGCTACGTGACGTCATTATCCGGCACCCACAGAGACACTTTCTGGGCTGGGCTGGGCTGTGGGCTGCATTTTGCACCTTGGGGTCTCAGCAGCATCGGCTGTGATTTGGTGGGCTATTGCTCCAGGTTGGTGGCGGGGCCTGTGTTCCACTTGGGGGAAGCCGAGTGTTGCTTTGTGGGCACCAGGTCCACGGTACCGTTTCTCTGTGTGTGTCTCGGCAGCTCCTCTGTTGAGAGTCTGCCCCCTGGTGGTCAGTAGGCATCATAGTGACTGGTCGGATGGTCAGACACTTAGCATATTAGCCTTTTATATATATAGATATCTAAGAGCAGCTGATGCCCATTAGATAATAACAGGAAAACAACCTGATTGACTTTCTTCACACTAACATATCAATTACTGGTAGTTACTTGTCTTCTACTTGTATGTTTTTAAAGGAGGATCAAACAAATATTTAATTAGCAGAATTTCAAAGAGTTTCAGAAAGTGAAATGATACTTTTAAGCAGAATTGGGGAGGAAGTAAGACTACTTTGGATAGGAGAAACACTTTGTGAGACATACCAGTCTGTCCTTCAGAGCAGACACTGAAGTCTTGCTTCTAAAACTGAGCAGGGGATGTGGTGTATCTTTCTGGCATGTCACTTTTCTTCATGGTAATTAATTTAAAATATGTAAACATTAAGACAAATGCAGTAGTATTAGTTATAGAATGCAGACTCATTTGGATAAAACATTAGACTTCAATTACCTTTCCTTGTTAGAATGGGTCACTTCAGGCTATGCTAGCAGACCCTCCTTGGGGGACCAGTTTGCAGCTTCTGCTCCCCTGGATCCTCACAGGGAATGTATGAGAAACACCATTCAGAACTTTTCCTGTGTTTCACAGTTTCTTTGTTACATGATCCCAAAGTTTCCCTAAAGGTTCCAAGTTTTCTCAAAAGATCGGGTGAGGAGGAGAGGACAGGAGGTAGATAACTTTTCCTCTAGTGTTTGTAAGTTGGTGACTAATTGTCAGTTGCATCCTATTATAGTTGAAAATTTCTGAAACAAAAGTAACAAGGTCTTCTCAACCCTCCAGCATCTCCCCCATTTCAATCAAGTCATCTCAAAGGGAATGTCATTAAAATAAGTAAAAGGTGGGGAGAATGTGATGTTATTATTGATAATACATTGGAAGTTTTTTTTCTTTGCGTGTGGGTTTGCAAAATGCTTTTTAAAAAAAAATTGTTTAAGGTATTACACATAGTAGTGAGGGAAGGTTTTTTGATGGATTAAAAATGCAAGGGAGAAAGAGAGCAAGAGATCAAGAGAGAAAGAGAGAGATTTGTTTATACCCCCCCCCCTTTTTTTTTTAACCCGGAAACATTAGATAACATAACAATTTTTCATAATATAAGAGAATTTCAAGGGCAAAACTGTTCTGGATATTAGAGTGAATTGTTAGATGAAGTTGTTTGACCTTTGACTAAAGTGTGTGGAATACAGGGCTGGTTTGTAAATGCCTTAAATATACTATGATCTTAACTCTAGTTTCAAAGAGAAGTGGGATTTGCTTCCTTTTTTCTCCCCTTCCTCTAAAAACAAAAATGATTGAATCTCTTAATCTAGGCTCAGTGTGAATTCAAACCTCACAGTGTAATCAAGAACAGGAAATTTGTTCATGTGGACATCTCTACAAGTCTTCTTTTTTCAGCATTAAAAACAGACCTGCTCTCAAAGAGCTAGAGTGGACCTTTATTAGGGCAGATATTTCCATTTTGCCTAAAGCCTATTTCTGTAGTACTGAGAAACTCAAAGAAGTGAGTGCACAGGTCATGGTTAATAAGGATAGAAAAGGTGAGAGTTAACTTACCTGTTTTGTACATTAGCAAACTCCGTTGTTTCTCATTATTTCCTTTACTCAGCCATTTGTCTCTAGTACTTCCTCTATATCAGGGCATTTGGTGGGGACAGGCTCAAGTAAGGAATGCATGAAATTCACAGCTCCCACAGGAAAACCCAGATTTAAAAATTGAGAGGAAAACCCAAGGTTTTGTGCACTAACCCATTGATTTTAGAGTCCCCTTAACAGTAGATTTTTTTCTCTTAAAATGAAATTTGCCCATTATACAATATCTACTAGTAGCTACCATACTTAGTTCACCATTAATGCCCAAACTAAAACTTGGGCATGTCTTGTGAAGACCTGAGTGCCTATTTTTAGGCAGTGTAATATTGGAAGTCTTCCTCTCTCTTCTGGAAAGATTATATAAATGAGTGAGGAGAGGAAGGGAAGGAAAAAGGGAGAAAGAGAGTAGTTTTGACTGATATATTATAAAACTCTTGCAGAAGAACAATCATAAAAAAACCTCAAAAATTATTTGTTCCACTGTTAAAATGCCTCACAATTTTCCAAATTTCATTTTCTCATTGTGTTCTTCAGGGAACTTGTGTTCTTGGAGAGGTAATTTTGCCATCTTGTCTTGCACTTCTTTGTTCGTCCAGAAACTTGAACACACAGGCTTTGAAATAAGGAAGGCAGCCTTTTAGAGACAGTATGGATGGTAGTACAAGCCCCTCAGAAATATTGCAGGTTCCATTCCAGACCACTGCAATCGAATGAGTTGTAATGTTTCTGCTGGTGAAGGGTCTTGCCT